TCAAGTGGTAGGGCGCTAGCCTTAAGCTGAAGAGCTGAGGGACAGTGCTCAGGCCCAGAGTTCAGGCCCCATGACCGACAAAAAAAAAAAAAAAAAAAAGAAAAGGAATAACAGGGTGCCAATGGCTCATGCCTGTAATGCTAATTACTCAGGAGACTGATATCTGAGGGTCAGGGTTTGAAGCTAGCCCAGGCAGGAAAAGTCTGTGAGATTCTTACCTCCAGGTAACTATCAAAAAGCTGGCAATAGAGCTATGGCAGAAAGTGGTTGAGTGCTAGCCTTGAGCAAGCAAAAAAAAAAACCTCCAAAAACTCAGGGACAGTGCCCAGGTCCTGAGTTCAAACCCCAGTACCCACGTATACACACACACACACACACACACAAAAGGAACAAGTCCTCCTTTACTTGCAAGGGAGATGCACAGGTGCTTGCTTTATAATTATGCAAACATATATTTGGATATATTTATAAACATATATTATAAATATATTCCTTTATAAATATATTCCATTATAAATATATTCCTCCATGCAGAAAAAATTAAGTGACAAAAAAGATATAAAACTTGAAGCAGAAACAAAGCAGTTTCCTCTAGGGGTGAATCACACAGGACATGATGTTTTCTAGGAGACCCCAGGCCAAGAGAAATGGGCTGTGAATGAGGCCTGAACCTAATTCACCCGAAAGCCTTGGCTGGCCCAAGGATGAGAGGCGAATGCTGCATGCTAGGGGTAAATAAGTGAGATGGCCAAGGAGCTAGTGGAAAGCACACTGTGACGTGTTTGGGTGTGAGCACCTCAGACCTCTTCCACACCCTGAATGGAACACAGTGTCTAGCTGACACTTCAGAGCTCAGCGCTGACTGTCTCTGGACCAAAACACTGAGGCTTGGCCTGCTGCCCTGGACACAGCTTAGCCATAAAATAGATTCCACTCTGCACAAGTGCCTGTGAAAAGCACTTTCTCCTGTCTGACCTCATGTTAGCCCTCGTACGGCGGGTTTTTTTGTTTTTTGTTTTCAAAAAACCCATCATGGGATGGAGGCAGGAATTATGGTAGAGGAAGGGAAAATGAACCATGGAAGGAAGAGTGGCTTATTCAAGATAAAGGGTGGCAGAGAAGAGTCTAGAACCCATAGCTCCTAATGCTCAGACCAAGGCTCTTTCCTGGGACCATTATTCCAGCAGCATGTGGGCGTGGAAGGTTGAAAAGCACTCATTCAAACTAAAGGCAAGAACCATGTACCCACCAGATTGGACCTCAATCCATGCCTGTCAATAGTAATGAAATTATCTTGCCCAGCCTGGCCCATACCTTAGAAGGCCCTGAAATTGTTCAGGACTCTCCTGATTTCCATGGTAGCTGGATGGAATACACAGTAGAAGGTAGGAACACAGAGTATTTGTGTAAAATATACCAAGAAAGGTCTAGAGGCAGGCTTAATGGTAGAGCAACTCACTAGCAAGTACAAAGCCCTGAATTCAAACCCGTAAGAAAAAAAAGCCAAGAAATAATAGAAATAATTCAGCATTGTTAATCTCATATTCACCAAGGGAAACAAGATTTACTGGATTTCCTGTTTCCCCCATCTCTGTGTGGTTTTTACCTGGGAGGAGTTTTCGGGCTGCTTCCTCAGCCATCCTCAGGAGAGGTCCAGAGCAGGGCCATCCAGCCTCTACTTCTACTCCAGCCTTCTTTGATAGCAGATGAGCAGACAGGAGTCCTCCTACCACTGCAGGTAACATAAAGTACAACTGTCATTATTCCAAGGACCAGTCTTTCCCTTGTACACAGTAAACCTTAGCATTCCCCTGGGATGGCTCAGGGGCTAGAGCCACCCAGACAGAGGTATCCTCTGGCCCCACATATTTATACAGTTGAAGTTCACAAAGTTGGTCATAAAGTGGGTCATAAAAATTTGACCATCGGGGCTGGGATGTAGCTCAGTGGCAAAACGCTTGCCTAGCAAGCGCAACGTCCTGGGTTCGATCCCCAGTACCAAAAAAGAAAAGACAAAAAAAATACAGTTAAAAAAAAAACCCAAACAAAAAAATTTGACCATCGGACTTTTTTTTTGGCAGGAACCGCCATCTTCCAGTAATTTGCCAAAATGACGAGCACAAAGGGGAAGAGGAGAGGTACTCGATACATGTTCTCTAGGCCCTTCTGGAAACATGGAGTTGTTCCTTTGGCCACATACATGAGAATCTACAAGAAGGGTGATACTGTAGACATCAAGGGAATGGGTACTGTTCAAAAAGGAATGCCCCACAAATGTTATCATGGCAAAACTGAAAGTCTATAATGTTACCCAGCATGCTGTTGGCATTATTGTGAACAAGCAAGTTAAGGGCAAGATGCTTGCCAAGAGGATTAATGTGCAAATTGAGCATATTAAACACTAGAAGAGCTGAGATAGCTTCCTGAAACGAGTGAAAGAAAATGACCAGAAAAAGAAGGAAGCCAAAGAGAAAGGAACTTGGGTTCAACTGAAGTGTCAGCCTGTTCCACCCAGAGAAGCACATTGTGTGAGAACCAACGGAAAGGAGCCTGAGCTATTGGAACCTATAAATTCATGGCCTAAGAGAGGTTACCAAATGAAAGATTGCTGAACTATAAAAATGACCTTGAAAAAAAAAAAAACTTGACCATCGATGGGCTGGGAAGTGGCTCAGTGGTAGAGTGCTTGCCTTGCATGCATGAGGCCCTGGGTTCGATTCCTCAGCATCACATAAGCAGAAAAAGCCAGAAGTGGTGCTGTGGCTCAAGTTGTAGAGCGTTGGCCTTGAGCTGAAGAGCTGAGGGACAGCGCCCAGGCCCAGAGTTCAGGCCCCACAACCGACAATTAAAAAAAAGAAATTTGACCATTGAAAAAGATGGCTGCCTTCTGAACTCTCTATTGTGGGCCAAGTACAAGGTACTGTTAGCCCTTCTGTAGAAAAAGATATAATCACCCATCTAGTGGGTGGCAGGACTAGGTCTCTCTGATTATAAAGCTCCTGTTCATTACACTCTGCCACTCTAGTTCCCAATGATGTATCATAACTGGTGGAGTGAGGTAGTGGGGGAGATGAGAAAATGCAGTGATTATCTGGTAACTAACAGTAAATAGGTTCTTAGTACTCTATTTGGGTTGGTTATGCAACATTTAGGACTCATAAAAAGACACAAAGGTTCTGTGTCTGGAAATATGGTTAACTAGATACTAGAAATGGCCGGCTAACTAAAAATAACCGGTGACCTTCAGTTTCCCTTCTTCTGGCAGAGGAACAGAAACAAAGGCAGGACCCAGCCAACATGGGGAGTGGATAAAAGGTCCTTGCATCAAGTTGAGACCTGAAAGAATTCTATACTCTCTGTAAGGAGGAATTAAAAATAGACTCTGCACACTTCCTCTAAGGGTATGTACATAAGGAAAATTACATGCCTCAAATCTTAGTGTCCAAGAAAAAGGAAGGGAAACAAACAAACAAAATAAAACTTCCACGGGGCTGGGAAGGTGGCTCAGTGGTAGAGCGCTTGCCTTGCATACATGAGGCCCTGGGTTCAATTCCCCAGAACCACATAAGCAAAAAGAAAAAAAGGCAGAAGTAGCGCTGTGGCTCAAGTGGTAGAGCGCTAGCCTTGAGCTGAAGAGCTGAGGGACAGCGCCCAAGCCCAGAGTTCAGGCCCCCCCAAAAATAAATAAATAAATAAAACTTCCCTAAGAATTAGTAACTACAAAAAATTTTAAAAAAAGAATTAGTAACTACAACTGGTAACTCACAACATTTTATAGTTTTAATTCATACTAATTGGATAGTCTAAAAAACTTCAAACCTTTAGCATACAGTGGGATTTGATACTTCAAGGCATATGCAGCAATCAATAAAAATGTGTATCTGGGAGAATTTTAATTCATGCAACACAGTCCTCAGAAAGAAATCACACAAATAAAGTCTGGGAAAAGAACTGCCTCTGAACCAACACACTGAGTAAAGCTACTGAATGAAATTTTAAAAATTTACTCAAAGAGGACTGGAAAGGTGGCTCAGTGGTAGAGTAAAATATACCAAGAAAGGTATGAGGCCCTGGGTTCAATTCCTCAGCACCACATAAGCAGAAAAAGCTGGCACTGTGGCTAAAGTGGTAGAGTACTAGCCTTGAACTGATTAGCTGAGGGACAGCACCCAGGCCCAGAGTGAGTTTCGGCCCCACGCCCCCCCCCCACACCCCTACCTCCAAGGGTACAAGGAAACAAAGCATTTTAAGTAAACAAAAGAACAACATGTCAATGTTTCAAATACTACAATTATCAGGCACAGAATACAGGCCCAGAGTGAGTTTCGGCCCCACGACACACACACACACACACACACACACACACACACACACACACACACACACACACACACACACACACACACACACACACACACACACACACCTCCAAGAGTACAAGGAAACAAAGCATTTTAAGTAAATAAAAGAACAACATGTCAATGTTTCAAACACACACATACACACACACACACACACCTCCAAGGGTACAAGGAAACAAAGCATTTTAAGTAAATAAAAGAACAACATGTCAATGTTTCAAATATTACAATTATCAGGCACAGAATAGAAAATAATTATGTGCAATATAACTAAAGAAATAGGGTAAGGAATGTGGCTTAGTGGTAGAGTTCAACCCCATGACTAACAAAAAAAGAAAGACTGGGCTGGGCGCCAGTAGCTCACGCCTGTAAGCCTAGCTACTTGGGAGGCTGAGATCTGAGGATCATGGTTCAAAGCCAGCTTGGGCAGGAAAGTCTGTGAGACTCTGATCTCCAATAAAACCACTAGAAAACTAGAAGTGGTGCTGTGGCTCAAGTGGTGTAGTGCTTGCCTCGAGCTGAAGAGCATAGGGACAGCGCCCAAGCCCAGTTCAAGCCCCACGACCAACTAAAAAAAAAAAAAGAGAGAGAGAGAGAGAAACTGAAATAAATTTGTCACAAAAATAATTTAAAAATTATAAAAAGACCAAAGAGAATCTCTAAAAATAAAAATATCATTGAAATTAAAAGTTGCATGATTATACTAGGGGCTGGTAACTCACAATTTATAATCCTAGCTACTCAGGAGGCTGAGATCTGAGGATGACAGTTCAAAGCCAGACAGGGAAGAAAAGTCGGTGAGACTTTTATTTCCAAAATAACCAGCAAAAAAAAGGCAGAAGTAGAGGTGTGGCTCAAGTGGTAGTGGTCTAGCTTTAAGCAAAAATGGTGAACAATAGCACAAAGTCCTGAGTTCAAACCCCAGTACCAAAACACACACACACACACACACACACACACACACACACACACACACGGTTCCATTAACAGCAGTTAAGACATAATTGAAGAGAAAATTAGTAGACTACTAGCCTTGAGCAAAAAAGCTCAGGGACAGTAGGTAAGGTATTTGGCTTAGTGGTAGAGTGCTTGGCTAGTATGCATGAAGCCTTGGGCTCAATTCTTCAGTACCACATAAGATAGAAAAAGCCAGAAGTGGCACTGTGGCTCAAGTGATAAAGCTCTAACCTTGAGCATAGAGAGGCTGAGGGACAGAGCCTGGGCCCTGCATTCAAAGCCCAGGACTGGCCAAAAAACAGCTCAGGAACAGCACCCAGACCTTGCCCCAGGACAAAAAGGACAAAATGTCCCTAAGATACAGAAAGGGACGTAGAGGATACAGTAAGAAGGAATGACAGCCAGTCACCGGTGGCTCACACCAGTAATTCTAGCTACTCAGGAGGCTGATATGTAAGGATCACAGTTCAAAGCCAGCCCAGGCAGGAAAGTCCATGAGACTCTTATCTCCAATAAACCACTAGAAAACCGGAAGTGGTGTTTCAGCTCAAATGGAAGAGTGCTAACCTTGAGCTGAAGAGCTGAGAGTCAGCGGCCAGGCCCAGAGTTCAAGCCCCAAGATGGACAAAAAAAAAAAAAAAGAAGAAGGTGTGACATACATCTAGTTGGAGCTCTTAGTTTGAATGTTCTCAAACCAAGAATCTAACAGCAATTCTCAGAACCAAGAATCCCAAGCAAGATAACAAAAAGAAATCTTCCTTTACAATTTTCTTCAATTTTTTTTTCATGTTAATCAAAGAATATATCTGTATAATTATATTTCTTTTCTTGGTGATACCAGGGTTTGAATTCAGCCTTCTTTTAGTTTTTCACCTAAATTCTTGTGCTTTTACCAAGGATGGCCTCAGATAATAATTCTTCTACTTCTGCCTCCTACTTCTGCCTAGCTGGGCTTACAGGCATGTACCATTACAGCCAGCTTCTTTTCTGTTTTAAACATTTAAGTATCATATAAGTTTCATTGCACATACAAGTTTCAAAGTACAATCCTGCCATGTAGAGGTTGTCAACTGATGAGTCTTCAAGATAGTTCAAAATAAGGGTGATGGTAGCCTCACAAGAAAGCCTGCTAAAACTGGGTATCGTGGTGCATGTCTGTATCCCAGCACTCAATAAGCTGAAGCAGGAGAATTGTGAGTTCCAAAACAGCACGAGCTGTTTAACAAAGTATTGTCTAAAAACAAAAAAGAAAACAAAAGCCTGACAAAAATATTGATCCTAGGATTCAACACAGAGATTCCAATTCCTTAAGTTTAGAGTAGATTCTATACACTCAACTTTAAAAAATATTCCCTAAGAAATGTACTCAAGATTACCTTACTCATGTAACTATAACCCCTCTGTACAGCATCTTTACAATAAAATTTAAAAAAATATTCCCATGTGGTTTTGATGAGTAGCCACATTTGGAAACAAATGCCTGAACTGTACTGCCTAGTACAATAATCACTAACTAAATATGGCAAGTTAAATTTAAATTCATTGAGGCTGTAGGCTCCAGCTGCAGTAGAGAAACTACAAACCCTCAGAACACTGCCCCCCCATGGTTAGTAGCCACTAACCAGGTAACACAGACATAAAACATATCCATCTTCACAGAAAGGTCTATTAGACAGATAATAAGAAGTACCAAGAAGGCAGGGATGTCTTCTTGTTCACAGCACCAAATACATGTTCTTTATGTGAATAAATGTGACGAATTTCTTTCTAGCCTTTTTGTTCTCTGCTCATTTTCATTTCTGAAACTGATGAGAGATCATGACCCCCCCCCCCCCCCCCCGCCCTCCAGGAAGTCACAGGTGCTCTGAGGCAATGTTTTTGGTGAATATCCTGGCAGGGTGAGTCCTGAAAATTCTATTTACCATTTCTTTGCTTTTTAATGTGTGTGTAAGTGTGAGTGTGAGCGCGCACGCATGCACATACACACACACATGCCCCAGTACTGGGGCTTGAACCTAGGGTCTTGTGCTCTTGATTGGCTTTTTTGCTCAAGGCTGGCACTCTACCACTTGAGCCACATCTCCACTTCCAGTATTTTGCTGGTTAACTGGCCATAAGAATCTCACAGTCTTAGCTGGGCACTGGTGGCTCACGCCTGTAATCCTAGCTACTCAGGAGGCTGAGATCTGAGGATCAAGGTTCAAAGCCAGACCAGGTAGGAAAGTCCATAAGACTCTTATCTCCAATAAACCACTAGAAAACCGGAAGTGGTGCTGTAGCTCAAGAGGTAAAGTGCTCGCCTTGAGCTGAAGAGCTGAGGGACAGCGCCCAGGCCCAGAGTTCAAGCCCCATGACCGACAAAAACAAAAACAAAATTAGCCAGGTGCTGGTGGCTCACGCCTGTAATCCTAGCTACTCAGGAGGCTGAGATCTGAGGATCTCGGTTCAAAGCCAGCCTGGGCAGGAGAGACTGTGAGACTCCTATCTCCAATAAACCACCAGAAAACCGGAAGTGGCTCTGTAGCTCAAGTGGTAGAGCGCTCGCCTTGAGCTGAAGAGCTGAGGGACAGCGTCCAGGCCCAGAGTTCAAAAAAAAAAAAATTAGAATCTCATAGTCTTTTCTGCACAGGCTGACTTTGAACTGGGATTCTTGGCCTTCAGGGTAGCAAGGATTACAGGTATGAGCCACCACCACCTAGTGCAATGTTTTTTTCTTTTCTTTCTTTTTTTTTTTTTTTTTAGACAATTACACGTTGTCTTCCTTCTAAAAGCCCCAGAAGGTAGCCTTACCTCTAATGTTGGTTTCAAATACAGAGGCATTCACATCGATATCAAAGTCCACATTGTCTTGGAGCACTTCAACCACTCTTTGGAATTCAGAGATATTCCCCAAAATCTGGAAAAAGAAGGAGACCTGACCAAGAGGCTCAGAAGAGGCTGGATTTAGAGGTGAGTTGCTATGCTAGTGGCCCTCACTCATTCAATTAATACCTCTAGTTTCTGTCCTAACAACAACAAAAAAAGCCTACCAAACTAGAGATCATCCAGAAACCCAATATCAAGCAATGGTTAAGTAAATTCCTAGGTATGTAGCCATTTCAATGGATCCAATATAGCCAACTGCCAATGGCTCACACAGGTAATCCCAGCTCCTCTGTAGGCTGAGATCTGAGGATTATGGTTCAAAGCCATACTGGGCAGGAAAATCTGTAAGACTCTTTATCTCTAATAAACTACCCAGAAAACCAGAAGTGATGCTGTGACTTAGATGGCAGAACACGAGCCTTGAGCACAAAGAGGCTCAGAGACAGCACCAAGCCCTGAGTTCAAGCCCCAGGACCAGAAACACACACATACACACACATATAACACAAAAACCTCAATGGATCCAATATAAGGAATAAAGACTCCAACATGAACTATTAGTTGGGCATTAGCAGTGGGTATCAGTGGTTTTTTAACCCTCTCTTGCATGTTCAAGCTTGTGGAGAACCTCACAGGTTGTTCCCAAGCTTCCATGGTGTGTATGGCCTCCTACCACAGAGGCTGACTATCCAGAGGCTCACCTTCTCAGACTCTTTTGTTATGTCCCCCAGTCAATTCTGACCCTTGTAAAGGCTGGGAAGTTGGCTCAGTGGTAGAGTGCTTGCCTTGCATGCATGAGGCCCTGGGTTCGATTCCTCAGCACCACATAAGCAGAAAATAAAAAGCCGGAAGTGGCGCTGTGGCACAAGTGGTAGAGAGCTAGACTTGAGCTGAAGAGCTGAGGGACAGCGCACAGGCCCAGAGTTCAGGACCCAAGACTGACAATAAATAAATAAACAAACAAACAAACATAGCTGACATTACTTTTATTCTGTCTCTGCCTTTTTGCTTTGGAAGCTGATCCTATTTCTAGAGCTGTGGCAACTATGTTCTACCATGAGGTATTAATCATGACAATGAAAGCCAATACACCAATGACAATAGGCTAGAATGCTACAAAGAGCCTACATCTCTGATGGCATTGTTCAGTCTTTAGAAATTAACTCATAACTTTTTTATCTGGGAAAATAAACTTCTGTTTAAACCATCTGTCAAGGGCTGGGAAGGTGGCTCAGTGGTAGAGTGCTTGCCTTGCATGCCTGAGGCCCTGGGTTTGATTCCTCAGCACCACATAAGAAAAAAGAAAAAAGCCGGAAGTGGCACTGTGGCTCAAGCGGTAGAGTGCTAGCCTTGAGCTGAAGAGCTGAGGGACAGCACCCAGGCCCAGAGTTCAGGCCCCACAACCGGACCCAAAAATAAACAAAATAAACAATAAACCATCTGTCAAATTAAATGTTGATACCTCTTCTTCTACATAAGCATCCCAATCTTCCACAGTCCCATCTGTGGTTTAGGAGAGACTGACTCCATGTCTCCAACTATAATATGGCACCTAACTTGGTCCAGCCATAGTACCAAGTGATTTGATTCAGGAATATGTGTGTGACCCAAGCCAAATCATTGAAGATTCATTCCCTGGAGTTAATGGGTTAAAGGTGGTTCTTTCCAGTGTAGTTTCCTAAGAGTGGGATATAAGCAGAATGCCTGTTGGCTACCCTGCCAGCCTATGAAGAGCTTGAAAACATAGCAGCAAAGTAAGCAGAGAAAGAGATGGAGAAAGAGATTCCTAAAGACATCTTTGTACATCTGGTTTTATCTAAGTCTAAGGCCAGCCTTTATCTGGATGTTTTAGTTATCTGATTCAGTAAATTTCCTTCTAAATCAGAATGAATTGGATCTCTGTTATTTATAATAAAAAATGTCCTGACTATCCCAGCAAGCAAAGTCCTCTTAAGATTTAGACACAACCTACCTTTCTGATCCTATCTCTTATAGTTCCTCTTCATCTAACCTCCCTTCATCTACTTCAGTAAAACTATACCCACAATTCTTCAACTTCCTGACTTTAGACCTTCTATCTCCTTCACCAGAAATCACTTCCTCTATGTCTTCCCTCTTCCAAATCTAACTTATCTTTGTTTAAATGTCACTTTCTCTAAAAAGCCTTTGATTCCTCTTTTATCTTCTTTCTTTAAATAAAAGGTCCCAATATATACAACTCTTAGGGCATTTAGTTCTTTCCAATTAAAATCTGCATGGACAGACACTCACTCTTGGCTACATTTCCCCCAGAGTGCCAGGCATAATTCATGAAGCAGTTACTCTACAAATGCTTATAGAATGATGACACCAATCTTTCTTCACATTACAGTCAATGATCTCAAGACAGAAATCTCATCATTTCCTGTCTTTTATGTAAGGAATTCCAGTGTCTTCCCTTGTTCTTGAAATAATCCTCAAAGTCCTTAACACAGGGAAAAGCTTGCATCATCTAGCTGCTATATGACCTCCAGCTTCACTTTACTTCCTGCATCCTTTACCACTCCCTAGCCACTCTGGCCTTCCTTCAATTCTCTGCACTTTCCAGGATGTCTTCTGCCCCAAGGCCTTTCTTTGCACCAGCTGTTCTCTGTGCTTAGAACACTCTTCCTCTCCCACTTTCCCCCTTGCTTCTCCTGTAGATCCCAAGTTCAATTGATCAGATTCTTTTACCCCACTCACAGATCTGTATTCCTTTCCCACAGAGCACTCCTCTTAGTTTGTAATTTTACATTCTTTAAGGTTTTTTTTTATTGTTCCTTGATTTTTATTGCTAACACCACAAACTCAGACAAGTAGATACCATGCCTATTCAAATTCATCACTGTAACTCTAGAGTTTAGAACTATGCTTGCTATACAATTGGCCCTCAACTGTTTGATGAATAGATAAGCACATAAAAATTAACATTAAGCAAAGTATAACCTATATTATATGTATGTATTATTGAAAATCTCATAAATGCTATCAATATGTAAGAGGAGAAGGAGTAGCCATGGTGTGTTGGTATGTGACTGCAATCCTAGCAGTCAGGAGACCAAGATTGGAGAATCAAGACTGTAAGGCTAGATCCAGGTACTGATGGCTCACTCCTATAATTCTAGCTACTCAGGAGGCTGAAGATCAAGGTTTGAAGTCAGCAGGGTCAGGAAAGTCTGTGAGGTTTTTACTTTCAATTAGCTAGCAGAAGCCAGACATGGAGCTGTGGTTCTAGTGATAGAGCACCAGCTGTGAGCAAAAAAGCTAATCAGGAACACAAGGCCCAGTATGGGTACCAAAAAAAAAAGAGTGTAAGGCCAGTCTGTACTGCATATGAAACTATGTCTCAAGGAGAAACAGAAAGGATGATAGAGGGGCTGGGAAAGTGGCTCAGTGGTAGAGTGCTTGCCTTGCATGCATGAGGCCTTGGGTTCGATTCCTCAGCACCACATAAGCAGAAAAAACTGGAAGTGGCACACGCTGTGGATCAAATGGTACAGCGCCAGCCTTGAGCTAAAGAGCTGAGGGACAGCACTCAGGCCCAGAGTTCAGGCCCCATGACCGACCAAAAAAAAGAAAAAAGAAAGAAAGGATAATAGAAATAATGAAACTGTGGAAAAGTTGTTAAAACCTTTCCTGTGGCCTTTTTAAGAAATTTAGAGACAGTATGGAGTCATAAAGAATTAAGTTCCAGTCTTACCATTGCTTTATAATAGCTCCATAACTTGCCCAAATCATTTTACCTCTTTCAAACATTCAACTTCCCAGTTGGAGGAAAGCATTAAAGTACTTACCTCATGAGGTTGAGAAAATATATATAAAGTGTTTAGAACAAGCCTTATACATGACAAAATAACTAGTTTCTGCTCTTTTTTTTTTTTTTTTTTGCCAGTCCTGGGGCTTGAACTCAGGGCCTGGGCACTGCCCCTGAGCTTCTTTTGCTCTAGGTTAGCACTCTACCACTTGAGCCACAGTGCCACTTCCAGCTTTTTCTGTTTACGTGGTACTGAGGAATCAAACCCAGGGCTTCATGCATGCTAAGTAAGCACTACCACTAAGCCACATTCTCAACCCTCTGCTATAACTTTACTATCATGAATATGGCTACTAGAATGTAAGCTTCAGAGCTAGGCGCTGGTGGTGCATGCCTATAATCCTAGCTACTCAGGAGGTTGAGGATTGAGGTTTGAGGCTAGGCCTAGAAGAAGAATTCACTTTTTACTTATAATTAAACTACCAAAAGAGGAAAGATACTAGTTAAGCAATGGAGAAGGGAAAGAATAGATGAGATACTTACCAGCAAGGTATCCAGAGCATCAATTAGAGTCAGAGAAAAGCTGTAAAAGGAAGAAAAAAACAGCAGATATATGACTGTTTAAACAGATTTCCCTTCCCCCAAAAAACTAAGTGAGATGCAATGATGAGTCTCCTTTGCTCAAGCTGCTTACAGTGACAATAAACTACAGGAAAAATCACTGGGATCATCTGACCCACTTAACACACATGGAAGGGTATGCCAATATACTTAAAATGTACTAAACATATTACCTGTATTGACATTCTTCTTTGCCATGGGGAGGCAGTATAAGATTATAGCTACAAGCACAGGCTTTTCAGCAGTTTTTTATCTAGGAATTTACCCCACAGTGTACATTGTTGTTTGAGATTGCTCATGGAAGTATTATTTGGAACAGCAAAAGTTTAGAAAGAATCTAATAATAGTCTACCAGTTGCAGTGATAGCCATGAAGTTATCAAAAAGATGGTTATAAGGAATTCTACGTACTACTGAAACATGATTTGATGATTTTCAAGTCATGTTATTAAATGGAAAACAGAAGAGACAGAATAGGCAGTATAGTGTGCTTTCATCTGCATTTCAAAAAGGGACATAGTGACAGAAAGCAGATTAGCAGTTGTTAGGACCAGTGATGATACACAGACTTACTATAAAGGAACACTTAAAATTTTTAGAGGCAAGAGGAGTCTATGTGTTGACTGTAACGGTTATTATACCTCAAAAGGTTATTTTACTATATGGAAATTAGTTGAAAAAGTTAATCTTCAAAAGATATACAATAGTTGGGCATAGTGGTACACACCTGTGATCCCAGCACCTGGAAGGCTGAGGCAGGGAGATCAAGAGTTAAGGCCAACCTAGGCTAGATAGTAAGACCTCCATCTCAATAAACAAGAGCAAATAAAAATACATACATACTATATAATAATTACATATTGAAAACATTCTTGCAAGGTGGAAGTGGAGATGAGGCTCAAGTGGCAGATAGCTAGCCTTGAGCAAAAATGTCAAGTGAGAACACAAGGTCCTGAGTTTGAGCCCAGGTACTAGCACCAATATACATATATGAAAGTAACAGTATTCTGAGGTATGAAATCTTTACCTCGTACTGTGTATGATTTTGTACTGCCCGAATTAGCCAGTTGTTTGAATTTACTTTTTCCCAGCTAAAAAGGGAAACCAGCACAAGTTGAGTTTACTTCCTTAGTTCTTAGCTTTGAAAGGAAAAGCCACCATTTGTAAATATGTGTAAAACAGGAATAGCTGCACTTGACTCCTAGGAGTCTTCGCTGAATGAGATGACATGGTGAAATGCTTAACACAGTGTTCAATGTCAACGTCAGCCAATTCTTAGCAAGGAGCAAGACATTATTTCAGTTCTCCTCGATTTTTATTCTAGTGGGAATAAGACAAGCCTGTAAATACATGAAAATAATAGTATCTGAAAAGTGCTACAAAGAAAACAGGTGACTTGTAAGCTTGATCTGAAGGAAAGGTGCTTGGGAGAGCTGATGCTAAGCAGGTAATGTAAAGCACTAAGAAATGAAATGAGACAATAAGATGGACACAATGGGCAAGAAATGTGTTTCAGTTACAGAGAACACCAACTACAAAGCTCTTAAATTCTGGGAGAGTAAGAACCACTCCTAGACCTGTTTATTAGCCTATAAAATGAGGGGCTCTTGGAGCCCTTTCACATACTCTATTTTAGTTGTACCCAAGTCCCCACAGCTGTTAACTGCTGAGGCTGGGCCCAGAGTTCTAGCATGCCAAGTGAAACCAGGACTTTTTGGCACTGCCAGAAGATGGGTACGTCCCGAGGGTACTAGTCTAAACTGAGAGAAGAGCAAGCCTGGGAACTTTCTGGAACCAGTGAGGCAACCAGGAAGCCACAAGCCTAGGACGGGACTGCCAAACCCCGGCCCGCCCCCTTGGCCCTCCGCTCGCTCTACCTGCCCCACGTGTCATGCCCGTCACAGGTGAGCGGCCTCAGCTCGTCGTAGGGAAAAGCATTTTCCAGGTAGCTGTCGTAGGCGTGGTAGAACATGGCCTTGACTCGCTCCCTGGTGCGAGGGGTGAGAAATAAGGCAAGGAGGTGAGGGCAGAACAGAAAACCCGGTGAGAGAAACGACCAGAAATTGGGCAGGAAGTGGGAATCAGCAGCTGATTTCTGCCCAGCACGTCCCGGTGGAGGTCCTGGGGTACAGAGACAGGGGAGGGACCCGGGGAGCGCTCCCCATTCCCCAGCTGTGTAAGGGCAGGAGCCTGGTCCCCTTCACCTGTAGTGGGCAGGGTCGGGCGCGGTGCCATCGGGGCCAGGAGCACCACGGGGCAGGGGCAGCAGCGCGCACAGGAGGCCAAGCGGGAGGAAGAGACGGAAAGGCATAGAGCTCGCGTCGGGTCAAGGCCGCCACCGCAGGGGCAGCCACCGCCACCCGCTCATTCTGGGAGCCGCTGCCGGTTCTTCCGGGGAAGAGCGCCACGACGCCTGCGCAATCTGAACCCCTCCACTTACTTCCGGACTACAATCTCCAGAATGCAATGCGAGGGGCGGGTCCTGAGCCAAGAGCTTCTCCGGGTGGTACCGCTTCCCAAGCGGAGATCCACGTGTCTGAAGTACAGTGGCTGCTGTGGCTACTGTTATTCATTAATGTTTAATTCCAGTTAGCATTTGTCGGGCACTTATCGGGTACAATAACTGTATGTAGCGCTGTAAAGGGACGTGTCTCTTATTGAACAGGAACTAGCGAATCAGTATTTGAGTGGCTTTATATATGTAAAATGAATGAGGAATGTTAAGATTTGACCATTAGAGGAAACACTAAGCTGCTCAAACTCAGCGGTAGAGTGCATGCCTTGCAAGCATGAGGCCCTGGGTTCGATTCCTCAGCACCACATAAACAGAAAAAGCCGGAAGTGGCGCTGTGGCTCCAGTGGTAGAGTGCTAGCCTTGAGCTGAAGAGCTGAGGGACAGCGCCCAGACCCAGAGTTCAGGCCCCATGACCTAAAAAAAAAAAAAAACAGTTCCCTGATTATGTAACTAGCAACTTAGAACTATCTTTGTAGCTTCCTAAAATCCTTTTTTAAGTTCTAGGAATTCATAAATTTCATGAAAGTCTTTTTTCATTTTGGGATGTGGCCACACCATCATGGCCCCTTCAATCTCCACCCCCAACCCAGAAACTTGTCCAACCCAATACACTGGACCAACACAGACTTCTATGTAGCCTCCCAGTGAAGACCTTGGTCACTACAGATTTGAAAGGGTTTGGGAACTATTTTTCTTTTAAGTTCTTAAAGTCTATGATCAGCATTCAGACCAAAACAACAACCATAACTCTGGTCAGTGATGTGCAGTGGAACCAACCCTGAGTTTGAAGTGGAGATCCGGCAAGGGGAGAATCCATTCCTTGCCTTTCCAAATACTCCTAACTGGTGGCATCCCTCAGCCTGTGGCTTTATCATTCCAGTCTCTGCCTCTTTCCTTATATTATCTCATCCTTTGAATGTGTGTCACATCTTCTGTTTCTCTTTTATATGGACATTTTTTTTTAATTGTGACTTAAGGATCTACCTGAATAAGACAGGATATGCTTCCATCTCAAGATCTTTAATTACTCCAAAGACACTTTTTTTCCCCCAAATAGCATAAAATTTACAGGTTCAGAAATGAAGACCTGGACTTTATTTTTCAGCCTAATATAGGCATAAAGTATTTTTTTAAGTCTTTCTTTCCAAATGAAACTCACTCTGGACTAATCATCTTTCTCCATATTGTAAGTCCTAGAGCTTAGCTTCTTTTTTTTTTTCCTCCCATTCAGAACTCTTGTGTAGATCAAATATTCATAGGGAAAAGACTCTAGAGAAGATGGAACCAGGTTGCCTGGATTTAGTAATGATCTGTTTCTCAATGTGCAAAATTGAGAAACACAGCTGGGCCAGGTGGCTCAAGCCTGTAATCCAACTACTCAGGAGGCTGAGATCTGAGGATCCCAGTTCAAAGCCAGAGGAGACAGGAAATTCCATGAGACTCTTATCTCCAATAAACCACTAGAAAACTGGAAAAGTGGTGTTTCAGCTCAAGTGGACGAGTGCTTACCTTGAGCTAATTCCATGAAACTCTTATCTTCAATAAACCACTAGAAAACCGGAAGTGGTGTTTCAGCTCAAGTGGAAGAGTGCTAACCTTGAGCTGAAGAGCTGAGGGACAGTGTCCCAGCCCAGAGTTCAAGTCCCATGACTAACAAAAAAAAAATTTTTTTTTTAATTTTCTTCATTTTACTTTTTTTGTTGTTGTTGGTGGTGGTATGAGGCTTGAATTCTGGGCCCGGGCACTGTCCCTCAGCTCATCAGCTCAAGGCTAGTGCTCTAACATTTGGGCCACAATGTTACTTCCAGTTTTCTGGTGGTTTATTGGGCCTAAGAGTCTCATGGACTTTCCTGCCCAGGCTGGCTTTGAACCATGATCCTCAAGTCTCAGCCTCCTGAGTAGCTAGGATCATAGGCGTGAGCCACCAGCACCCAGCTTTCATTTTACTTTTTTAGCTTAATAAAAACATATATTCACTGTCATGAAACAAATAAAGCCATGACTTCCATTTTCACATTTCTTGTGACTAGTTTCATAATTTTTTAATGAGAAAAAATTATTTTTACACTCTGGAAAGTAATAGAAGTCTTCTATCCTGGTTTCACTTCTCACTCTGTTTGTAATACTGGGTTCTAAAAAATTGCAGTCTACCAGTGAGGTGTCAAATTTGAATATTTACCTGTGAGGTAACTTCAGATAGGCTGTCTAGCTTCTCTAAGCCTCAAATTTCTGATTTGAAATGCAGAAATTGATACAGCCACAAAGGATTAGATGAGAAAATAGAAGTGAAAATATTCTTAGTACAATAACTTGTACATATTGTTTGTTGTAAACAGTTATCTCCCTGCCATCCCTAAGCCTTTTTTTTTTTTTTTCCAACTGTGGGGCCTGAACTCTGGGCTTGGGTGCTGTCCCTCAGCTCTTCAGCTCAAGGCTAGCACTCTACCACTTGAGCCACAGCGCCACTCCCGGCTTTTTCTGTTTATGTGGTGCTGAGGAATCGAACCCAGCGCGCCTCATGTATGCAAGGCAAGCACTCTACCACTGAGCCACCTTCCCAGCCTTTTTTTTTTTTTTAATAGAGGAGATAGTGAGTAATATGCATCTCACCATAACAACCAGAAGCAGGCAATAACTCCTACCCTCAAGAGTTTGAGTTTTAGTACTGGACAATTAATATTCCAAGGTAATCAAGCCACATTCTTTTCCCTTAAAATGCTTGTGGTTTTGTTTAAAAGGTAAAATGTTTTTTGGAGAATACTTGGAATAGAAGAGTGGTCAAGTCTTCTATGGATGAACAGAATTTGGAGGGCATTCAGATCCTATCATTAACTGTGGTCAATGTCCTTGGACTCTGTGTTAAGTGGAACAAGTCTTGGATTGGTAGTAGCCCATGATTCTATTACTGGTATAGCCACTGTCTTTGTGTCATCTTTGGCAAGTTACTTTCCCTATTAGAGATTCAGTTTTCATATTTGCAAAACAAGAGTGAGGCCACTTGTCAGCATAGGAAAATAGTAACAGACCTATATAGAGTTCAGTCACTTAGAAAACAAAATTCAACATCAGCATTCCTCCAAAATTCTCATAAAGTTGAATAAAACTATAGGATAAATAGGAAATGTACTCATTACCTTGCTAATGTAACTGTAACTCCTCTGTATAGCATTTTTATGATAAAAAAAAGTAAAAAAGAAAACAACTATAGGATAACATTTCAAATGGAACTGGAAAGGGATACAAGGAGGAAGAATAGGGGCTGGGAAGGTGACTCAGTGGTAGAGCACTAGCCTTGCATGCATGAGGCCCTGGGTTTGATTCCTCAGCACCACATAAGCAAAAAAGAAAAAAGCCGGAAGTGGAGCTGTGGCTCAAGTGGTAGAGCCCTAGCCTTGAGCTGAAGAGCTGAGGGACAGTGCCCAGGCCCAGAGTTCAGGCCCCACGACCGGACATCCCCCCCCAAAAAAAAAAGACAAGGAGGAAGAGTAGGACATGATCAATTTTATTGGTAATACCATGCATTTATGTAGCAATTAATATATTCCAGGCACTGTTTTTTGTACTTTATATGCATTATACCACTAACTTTCCACAACTGTCTGAAACAGTATTAGTACCGCCATTTTACAGAGCTTAGAATCTGAAACATAGGTTTTAAAAGTGGAAGAGTTTAAAAGATTAGTAGCATACTCAATGTCTCGTAACTAATAAGTAGAGCCAAAATTTGGACCCAGTCCGTCCTGTCCAAATTAATGAGAATAGTGGCAAAATATTAATAAAAGGCCAATAGAGAATTTTAAAATGGCAATCTGGTATACCTCTATAGTCCTCCATAGCGGCCGTTTGATGTGATTCCAGAATCAACATTCCCATCCTTTTTGCTGTCAGAAGAAAAAATACAACTCACAGAGGTTGAGTATTAAATCCCCTTTGGCCCAATATGCTTGACTGATATCAGAGAGTCTCTGGGAATCCCTTTCCTAGCATCTGGGGGTCAATTCATTCCAGTAATTTGTCTCAACTCCCAAAGCCAAGTCTGTATACGACATACTTTTGGACTGCCAAGAAATAGCTAGTTTATTCCTGGGAAATTCTCCATCTGTTCCCTTGTAGAAATGCTTGAATTTCCCCTGTGCCCAGCGTGTCCAAATATTTGACCAATGACTCCCTGGTCAGAGCCCCAGACCATGTTTTTATAATTCTTATGCTCCATGTGAACTCATACTTGTCCTTTTGTTTTTTTTTTTGGTCGTGAGGCCTGAACTCTGGGCCTGGACACTGTCCTTCAGCTCTTCAGCTCAAGGCTAGCACTCTACCACTTGAGCCACAGCGCCACTTCCAATTTTTTCTGCTTATGTGGTGCTGAGGAATCGAACCCAGGACCTCATGCATGCAAGGCAAGCACTCTACCACTGAGCCACCTTCCCAGCTCTTATTTATTTTTTGCTTATGTGGTACTAAGGAATTGGAGGGGGTCCGGTCGTGGGCCTGAAATCTGGGCATGGGCGCTGTCCCTCAGCTCTTCAGCTCAAGGCTAGCACTCTACCACTTGAGTCACAGCGCCACTTCGGCTTTTTTTTTTTTTGCTTATGTGGTGCTGAGGAATCGAACCCAGGGCCTCAAGCATGCAAGGCAAGCACTCTACCACTGAGCCACCTTCCCAGCCCAGTACTAAGGAATTGAACCCAGGGTTTCATGCATGCTAGGCAAGCACTCTACCACTGAACTATATTCCCAGACCTTTACCACAATATTTTAAAATGAAAATGATGAATGATCCAACAAGTTTCTGTGGTGTTTTCTGCCTTTTAGGGAATATCTATTTCTTTCATATCCAATATTTTCAAAGAAAATATGTTCTTATTGAGCAGG